TATTTTCTTGCAAAATAACAAACCAAGACCTCTAATGGGTCACATTGTTGGTAGAGATCCCTAAGAAGATAAAGCCTTGTTACTTTTGTTATTAAGATATTGGAAAAGGGGCTTCCCTGGTGGTACAAGGTGTTAAGAATGCAACCTATGAAGCTAACCTCAGCCACTGCAGCACGAGTTCGATCCCCGGCCAGGGAGCAACCCACATGGCGCAGCAGATCTCTCCTGACTTGTCCGCTGCTCCCCTCAGCAGTGTATCAGTCAATCTGCCTGTTCTGTTCCCCACTGTGTCTCTGGTGAATCCTCTCATCCCCTCCCCCCTGCACCTCTGGCCTGTACCCCAGCTCTTGTATGCACAAAAATAAAATAAATCTTTCTTAAAAAAAAAGATACTGAAAAAAAATGTGCCTCTCATTGGCCAACCAGTGCAACTGATGACAAAAGAAATGACAGACTTCCTCAGAAAACATACATTTCAAAAAATCTGAGGCCAATATGACTAACTCATGAATGACTCAGAATTATTGGGAAAGCATTGTGTCATAATTTAATTGGTAATGTTTTCCACTTTGGTACATAAAATACCACTTTCCACTTTTGGTACATAAAATGGCATTTATCATCACTTATGACATGCTGTATTTAATAAAGTATATATGTATAATAGAATATTTTACAACTAGGAAAATTAAAAAAAAATAAAGATAGATCCAAATGGACCGATATGGAAGACTCTCCAGAGCACACCATAAATGTGCAAAAACAATAACACAAAAATGTTCATAGCATGGCTTCCATTTATAGAGAGGAGAAGAGAAGAGAAAACAAGACAAGAGAAAACAGCTCTCCTCCATGGAAACTGCATATCCGCAGCTGGCGTTGTAAATCAGGAAAGGGTAGGTCACACCAAAGTAGTGATGGTACAATTTGGAATCCATATGGAAAAAAATAAAATCAAGTCCTTAAGCTCACAAAGGTTCATTTACAAATGAAATACTGGATTTCAATTTAGTAGAAAAAGCAAAACTTTAAAACAGAACTAAAGTATGAACTTGGAGTAAGGACAGATTTCTTTAAAACACATAAAAATCACAAAATATAAAGAAAACAGGAATTCATTTACATGGAAATTAAGTACTTCTGTTCACCAAAAGATATCAATAAGAGAGTGGAAAGGAAAGATACCAACACAAAAGCAAGTCACAATGGTTTACAATGCAGTTATCCAACAAAGGATTTGTGACAGACTGGGAAGCTATTTATGATATATATATGTATATATCTGAAAAAGGATTTATACCCAGAATATATAAAGACTGAAAAAAATTAAAATGACAAGTCATTTTTTTTTTTAAATGGCAAAAGACTTGCAAAGGCACTTCACAAAAGGAATTCCAATAGGCAGTAAGCAAATGAAAAGGAACTCAACTATTTGTCCTCAAGGAAATGCAAATTAAAACCACAGGGAGCTAAGACTGCATGTATCAGGGTAAGAAAATACCAATGTTAGCATGAATATGAAGCAAGTAGAACCTTCCTATATACATTGCTGGTGGAAGAGTGCATGACCTGAGGATATGATTACAACCAAACTCCAAAGAATAAAAATAAATATAATAACAACAATTATCCCCTATGATAATACTGAAATGGACAAGAACAGTCTCAAGAAGATGTCCATTAGTAGGAGAGGTCTGATAAATAACAATTGGATCATCACAGGCTAATCACTGCAAATAAGCTGGATCTTCAAAAGGCAGACAAATTTTAAGGATAATAAAAAGGAGCTATTAATATGAAACTCATTAATAGTAGGCAAATGCAATTTAATATTGTTTCTAAATAGTGGAATGAATATTATGTGTGTGTGCATGATTACAAAAGAATATATTAAAACTGCTGCTGTAATAAGTAGTTTTCAAATTCTGTTCAGATTCATTTATGGAGCTTAATTGTGAAGGGAAAAGATGATAAGATTATAAGTATAAACAAAGACAAAGAATGAAGGTGATTCTCTTCATAGAATGGTTATGATTACAGGTTAAATTATATGTGTAATATAAAGATTTTACAAGGTGATAAAAGGATTAGACTTGTCTATGAAATTTGTATCTTCTTACCTCCCTGTGGAATGACCCAGAAATCTACAAGTAGATTGTTTTGCCAGTAGGTTTTTAAAATGTGAGCTCTAATGAAAATTTCATACTGAAAGACTTCCAATGAAACTGTGAGAGGGGAAACTGCTGATGTGAAATGATTTTAAATGCTCTGCATTGTTCAAATTGTATTGTGTGCATTTGAGACTGGTATTAACCAAAAGCAAACTGATTCTGTAGTGGAACTGAACTCCAGAAATTTGTTTAAAGCACTCCAAATGTAGAAGTACAGAGATAACTAAATGAGAGAAATTAACAAACCTCCACATGAGCCAAGGCCAGTCTGTCTTTGAGTGGCAATGGCATGCAGCTCTTCAGGGGACAGCCTGGGGCCTGACCAGCGGGCTGGGCAGCCTCTGTCCCAACAGCCTCTAGGCCTGTGTCTACCATCAGACTCAACCCTTCTCAATGATACTTGTTCTCACCACTTATGTAATTTAACAGTGTCTCACTCCACCACCTGTCATACAAAGTAGAAAGAAGTAGGATGTGGTAGAAGACTTTCAGTGCCTTGGTCATGGGTGTGTGTGGAAACAACACCTTTAAGTCATAGATAGTATTGTGGACCAATGTTACCTCAATAAAAATTAAAGAAAGAAATAGGACTGAGGTAAATGGAGAAAGTGGAAGACTAGGGCCAATAACCAGACAGTGGAATCTCAGAATGTGTGGTTATGCATATTTTTGCCATTGACCATGGTCAAGGCACCTGTACACTTAGGGAAATCACTGATTAAAGTTGTGTGTATGTGTGTGTGTGCACGCATTCACACATATTCACGTGGCTGTACCTCCCTGAAGTTACTAAATAAGGCAAGTTTGGATAGAATAGATGACTTAAAAACCAGCAAAACCCCTCTTTTGTGGATGTAGTAGTATTGGGTATTCAGTGTTGAAAATGACAGTCACATGATTTTAGTTTCTTTTCTGGTAAAGTGAAAATTTGAGAACTGTTCCTATAAATGTTGCTTTTTATTTAAGTATTATGACTTTATATTTTACCTTCTTTTCCAACTGAAGTAGTTGACTTACCAAATGGTAACAGTTATTTCTTTTAATTCTTATGACTTGGACAGCTAACTTTAAAGTATTGATTTTGAAGTCCAAAGCATTATATGTAAGTTGAGAGAGTGCAAGAAAAAGAAAGTACTTGGCAGTGTTTTTAGTAGAGTTTTTTGAATTTGGTGGGCATCAGAACCACAACCCAGATCCACTCAACAGAGTCTTGCAGGATAGGGTTAAGGTGTGGATCTTAAACAACTATAATTGTGGAATGCAAACACTTGAGGACTATCAACAGAGAGTGTTATTGTTGATTACAGACCAGACTATAAACTCAGATTCAAAACCTTATCTCACTCTAGATTCCAAAACTCTGGAAGTCTAAAGAATTTACTAAATCACAGCTCTAGACATGTTAGATGAATACAGACTGCTATCTTTCATAAACTGACATGGAAATTCTTAACAAAATAATACCACAAGATATAGAGTCAATTCACTATAATCAAGAGGGATTTAGCAGAGGAATGCAAGATATTTTATTATCCAAAAATTAATTAATTAATATAATAAAAATAAAAGATAAATCCACATAGTCATATCAAGAGATTTGAAAAAGTGTTCAACAAAACCCAACATCCATTCTGACAAACTCTCTCAACTAATGAGGAACAAAAGTATCAGATCTTAGAGAGGGAAGGATCCTCAAGGGCAACTGGAGGCTAGTGCTTTCAGATCAGTAATGATGTTTTAACAAAATTTAAAAAATGTCTTCTCCTTGTCATAAAGTTTAAAAATAATATTAAAATGCCCAGGAATATTAAAATATCAGAAACTTGCGAAAGAGTAGATGACTTTTGAAATTATTCCAATTCTTTAAAGCTTATTAAGGAGACTACAATTTATGAAATTCATTGTCTAGATTCACAAGTCTTTGAAAAAGCATCAGAGGATACCAAAGGACCACTTAGGTATTTATACCATGGCCTGGTATATTTTCCTACTTCTTACACTCATATCACCTGGTAGAAAACCTGGTAACCACACAATTACCTAGTAGCACAAAGTAACTAGATTGCAGTAAAAGAGATGTGTCTCATGCTTGCTGTTCTGAGAGATTCCCTTATGCTACATCCTCTTCATATGCACCCACATTCAATTTCCCCCACATCTGTGATTCCTCATTCTCCTCCAAGGAGAAAAATACAAATGACAAGTCTTTGCAGAGCACACTCACCCACACAAGTGGCCTCGCTTCCAGTCATAACCTTCTTTTGCAAAGCCACTCAACTAACAGACTGTCACCTCGTAGGCAGTCCAGAGGTAGGGTTGTTTAAACCTTCCATAACACCTAAGTAAACTTTATTTTCAATATTTTCTATAGGGGAATTGGACTCTCTACTCCTAATCCTTTACAAATAATTGCAAGACTTCAGGAAAATGAAATGAAAAGGTAGCATCTCTCCTTACCCTAAATTTTAAAGCCATCATCACTGCTGCCATAGTGATAGGCTGTCAGGAGGGAAGCAGTCCACTTAGACCAAGGGAATTGTGGGACGCCTTGGTCATGGGAAGGCAAGTGGTCCCTCAGTGTGTGCTGCTCTTTCATTTACTCTTTTATGTGTGTATCCATGGCTGTTTTGTACCAGTGCCCCCCAAATTCTAAAATATTTGCTATCTGACCTCTAAAGAAAATTTTCACTGATGTTTTGTCTTGAGAACCAAGAGAAAGGAGTCATTCCTGGTGGGGAACTGTTTCAGAGTACAAACTGAAATTTTCCCAAAAGGGTAAACAATGATAACTTGCCCACTGGAACACCCCCACACGGAGTCTCTTTGTACCTCAGTTCCAATGAATGTAGGACGGATATATAGACTAGCAGATGTTGAATATGGAACCCATTCTTGATCCAGCTTCACAAGTTGCTGAATACATTCTAAAAGCTCTTCCTTGTCAAATCCCTGAAAGAATGAGAACATAACAATAACAAATACTGGAATGTTTTTTTCTATTGTAGCAATAAGAAATGATCTTCATGGAAGTTTTAGATTGTTAAAAAAGCAGTAATAAAAGCAACATGAATTTTTTCCATGATTTTCCTCTCAAAATTGTGATGGGATGATGGATTATCTATATGGAGAAGATGAAAATGTGGGTCCCTACTTCTTGCCATACCCAAGTATCAACAGTAGTTGGATTTTACACATAAATGTAACAAAACATTAAGACATTTTGCAAAAAATACAAGTTACCACTGTCTTTTTAAGGTAGGAAGTGATTCTTAAGTAGAGACAAAGAATGAATCATAAAGAAAAAAACTAGATAACAGTTTGTTGAAAACTTAAGGACTTCTGTTCTTCAAAGGACATAAGAAACCACAAGCTGGGTGGAATTATTTGTGACATATATAACCAACAAAGCTTAACTGGAATATGTTAAGATATGTGGAAAGTCAGCAAGAAAGAGACAGATAATCTAATAGGAAAGTGGACAAGAGAAAAAGGGTTTTATATACTAGATAGGTGATAATTTGCAAAATAAGTAGGCTCTACTCAAATGGCTAGGCAGAGAAACAGATTTTCAGAGATGTGATGGGTTAAAAAGGCAGAAAGGCATCAGAAACCCCTCAACAGAACTCATAACGTTGGGATTTGACTGTCTCTATACAGCCTCTAAGTGCTATCAGAGTAGAGCTGTCACAGAAACCGGGTTTGCCATCTGCAGGACGAGGCATCAACCTGTATCACCTGCTCAGCTCTCTGGTACTGCTTTCTAGAGATAAGACTTAGTGGAAAGAGAACTTGACTAGGAATCAAAAATTTGCATCTAATTTTTTGCCCTGTCCTTTGCTCTGTGTGACTTCAGGCAAGTCACTTAACCTCTCTGGCTTGAGTTTTTTCTCTGTACATAGGTGCTATTAAATTTACAATATATACCGTCTTGACAATGGCTTACAATTAGGATGAAATAGAGGAGGAATGTAAAAACCACTTAACAGTTTATAGCAGAGCTGATGATAAATGCTGCTTCTCCTTCACCACATTATAAAATGTTTCCTCATGATCTGTCTGTAATGGTAGAAGGGTGAAACCAGGACTATTCCAAAAAAATTTCCCTTCTGCTACCATGTTGAAACCTGTGAAGGAGGCATTTTAAAAACATGGGGGAGAAGGTAGAGTGGCTAAAATGGAATCATAACTTGGATTTAGCTGGGGTTCTTCAATGCACAGCTTGGGCTAGGTTCCCAAAGTCTAGGTACACAGAAAAGCTCAGAAAGCCAGCCTGGTCCTGTCTCAGGGAATGGAAGTGATTGAAGTTACCTCCTGCCGAGAACCTTAGGGTCTGCACCCAGCCAACCTTGTAGGGAATTCTCCATAACAAACAATGCCTTGGCCATGGTCATAAGAAGCCTTTTTGACATCCCCTTTTTTTTTTTTAAAGATTTTATTTATTTATACAAGCACTGGGTACAGTCAGCGTGGGAGGGTGAGAGATTTCAAGAGCCAGAGCGGAGAACAGAACAGGCAGACTGACGAAGTACACTGCTGAGGGGAGCAGCAGGTAAGACAGGAGAGGTCTGTTGAGCCATGTGGGTAGCTCCCTGGCCAGCAGGGGATTGAACTCATTCTGCAGAGGTTGCAGACAGCTTCACAGGTCTGCGCGCCATGTGGGACCCTCGCCGGTGGCCGGGGATCGAACCGGTGCTGCAGAGGCTGCGGGCAGCTTTGCAGCCCAGCGTTCAACTGCTGCACCACAGGGGGAGGCCCTGACATCCCCTTTTTAAAAATAAAACATGGAGTAAAATATCAAAACACTTAGTTAAATCACTATGTGCCTGCTGATATCTAAAGCAATCAGGCCAAATACCTTTATAACACCCCATATTTTAGCTTTTAGTACTTTAATTGTACATGGTCTTTAAATTTTATGTGTTTGAGCTTGAGGCATTTTTTTCCCTTACACTCTTATCTCCTATATATATATATTAACTCCTCACACTCATAAAGAAAGAGTATGGGGCCTCCCCTGGTGGTACAGGAGGTTCAGCACTGCACTGTGAAGCTGTCTGCAGCCTCTGCAGCACCAGTTCGATCCTGGCCGGCCCGCGAGGGTCCCATGTGACATGGCAAACCTCTCCTGTTGTGCCCGCTGCTCCCCTCAGCAGTGTATTTCGTCAGTCTGCCTGTTCTGTTCCCCGCTCTGTCTCTGGAGAATCCTCTCACCCTCCCGCGCATCTGGTCTGTACCCCAGTTCTTAAATAAATAAATAAATAGATAGATAGATAGAATTGCTAAAGGCGATTGTTGGTTTCTTGTGTTTTTACTTGACTAATTACAAAGTACACCAGAAATAACTTGTATCCTTATGGTTTGTACTGAGTTTTGATCTACCTATTGAGAATTGATTTGTCTGATGGTATATTCACAGCGACCCACTACATGAAAAGAAATAAAAATACACTCGAAAATGTACATACCGGCAAAGTTGCTCTCTTAGCTGATCGGTACATTCTCTCCATGTTGAGCTGTGGCCGAAACAGTCGAATTTTATTATCTACTCCTCGGAATGCCTTCAATCCTTCAAATAACTGAAGAAAAAAGAGAAATAAAACTTAGGGCTTAACAAAATGAAAACAATCCCTGCGTTCAAAACATTGTGGGTGCTCATCTCCTTCATCATGGAGGACAGGACAGGATAGGACAGCAACCAGAGATCCCTAAATCTAGAAAAGCCAACCACTGACCAGGCTGCTTAGAATAACTAGGATAAAAAGAAGTCCATATTATCAAAATATGGTGGTAATTCAGACCTACCCTGTGCTTAGCAGGAAACAAGCCGCTAAGTGTCCTATCAATGGCTCCACCCAAGAAAAGCATATCTACACAAACTGTTTCAGCTATTCGGACAATGGAGCTGGAGCCAGAGACCCAGGGCACCTTGCCCCCCTCCATACCCATGTCTCTTCTCATTTATCTGGCACATTCAAACTCTGGAGTGTAGGGAACCTAGATGTGACCAGATCTGGTTTAGTCCCCAAAGGCATAGAAACCAAGAAGATCAAGAGCGTACTATGGTTTGGCTATGTCACCTTTCACAAAGTACCGCCCCCAATAAAATGCAAGGAAGGAGTGAAAAGACTTTAAAGTAGGCATGCACAGAACAAAAACAGTAATTTTAGTGGGGAATTTTGAAACAAGCGGTCTAAATAATTAACAGAACAAATGGGCTAAAACACAGAAAAGACATGGAAGATTTAAACAATAACAAGCTAATCCAGTGGACACACACAATCCTGCACATACCACATGTTCTTTTCATGTGTTTTCCAACACCTACATAATATTGAATTCAAACAATAGGAACACATACCCTGTATAATTTGACTTACACATAGTCCAAAAAAGAGGCAAAACGGTAGTGTTAGAGACAGGTAATCTCAAAAGAAAAGCAAAGAAGTGTTTGTGCAGCAATAAAGATAACAGTGCATGAGAAGATACAGGATGTGTTATGTGGAAGGGACACTGGACTAGATATGACAGTCAGGTGGTCTACTTCTTTACTAGGGTGGTTGCTGGATGAGCACTAGTTTATAAGTATTCATTACAAGTGATTTCCCATAGGCCAGTAGTTCTGAAAATGGGGTGCCTGTAGCAATAGGATTAACCTGACCTTGGAACTTAAAAAACTGAAACTCTGGGGATGAAGTCAAACGACGCTGATACAGGCTGACACTGCCCTAGGCTTTATTATATTCCTTCTTTTAAATTTATAAGCACTTTCTTATTTCCTTTGTGCTTCACTATCCCTCGTGAAATGGGAAGGGCAGCTACCATTCTTATTTTGTCATTGAAGAAACCTGACTTTGGAGTGAATTGTCAAAGAGCTCATCTAACTTGATACAACAAGTTTAGAAACACAAGTTGCAGATGGAAACATAGATTCTCGAGTTTGACATTTGGTGAACATAGTGGGGCAGGAATGTGTTTCCAAATTATTCAAATTTTTAATTCTAAACAAGCCAATGGGAAGGTCTTTGTATTTGTTGAGGGTTATGTCATGGGAATAGGAAGTTAGCATTTGAACCCTGGCTTCTCCTTACAGCTGTGTAATCTTAGTCTAGAAACAACTTTTCTGAAACTGCTTGTAGGCAGGTTGCTTCTATTATGATACTGCTTCAGTTACTAATAGTCGTGAACTGCTGTCATTATGATGTATTGACATTACTGGCATAGTTCTGTATGCTTAGATCAAATGAACTTATTTTATTCTTCTAATGACTCTTTGAGATAGTCGTAATCACCACCTCAATTTATCGGTAAAGAAACTGAAGCACAAAATTATTAAATCAATTGTTCAAGTAATAGAACTCCCTGTAAAGAAAGAGAGACAGAACGAAAGTCTGACTGTTGCACCTAATGCTTAACCATATTCTGTCTCTCTTAAAATAGTTAAATGAAAGGACCCATTATAATGCCCCTAGTATAAGGCACATACATGGCAGGGATTCATAAATAAAAGTAGCTATATTATTATTATGAATATTGACTAATATTATCTTTTAGCCCTTAATAGGTAGGTAGGGATTATTTTCATCACCCCATTATTCTGGGAAAGATATCTGTAACACATTAGAGATACAGAAAATGAAATGGAAATCAAGGGAATAGGAATGTAGTAAGTATCTGGCTAAGTGTGTATCCTGAAAAAAACCAGAGAAGGAATTCTCTAAATATTTAACATTAGCTCATAATTATTCCGCTTATGCCTGAAGGAGCATATTTAATTACATGTGGTTAATACACATAACTACACATTATTGCTGGTCATAAAATCATGCTATTAGTATTAAAATCTAAACATAAAACATTGTATTCAGTGACCCCTTCTCAATCGTTAGAAGAGCTGAGAAAAGAGATGGTTTAAAGTATTAGCCATATCGATTGGCTTTTTGATTATTCATTTTCTTCCAGACTATCCTTCCTGTTTGCTCTAGATGACTTTTATTGACATTAGAGGAAAGTCAAGTTTATCTAAAATTTCATTTCTAAGACTCACCTTCAATCCAACTGTTAATAGGAAAAGTTTTAAAGGCATTTGTGACTTTCTTGAGTAAATATGATGGAGGCCCTACTGCCCCCATGCTGTTCTAGATAGAGGTGGGCAAGCACCTCAGCATCTTTAACCCCACGTACTCACTTCCACTGCGTAGTGGAAAGCTGATGAGCCTGGATGCAGTGACAGGTTTTGAAGGGGCTTGATGTGTGGTTTCTCCCATCCAAATTCTGAGGACCACTCTACTGTCAACATGTGGTCCGTGAAAACAGTTCCAAATACCAGACTACTTGGGTCCGGTTTGGCCTTCAAAACAGTAGCTTGTGTGATGATTAGATCTTTAGCCTGGGGAAGAGAAATCAGCATCATTAAAGAGAAGTAACTGAACATCACCTGGGTGGATGATACAGAGGGTCAAAGGGCCACTAAAAAGTGACTTGACTTTTTTTGGTCCTGTCCCCAGAACGTGTTTATCTTATACCTGGAAGCTTGTATCCTTTGATCTCCTTCACCCATTTCCCCCACCCTGATCCCCACTTGATTTTTAAATATTGGCAACTAACTCAGAAATGTAGCAACACTATGTGAGCCAATCCAACCATGTCTGCATTAGGACTTGTCCTGTGGTCTGAGATCTCTGCCTAATAGACATTAGAAGCAAATGTCAGCGATATTTAGAGAGATGGACAAATAGCAGGTGGAATCAACCGATGCAAAAAGAATACATCCCTTTCTTGACTCCCATCAAGGACTCATGTTGAGCATTTAGAAAAGAAGAAAGAGGTGTCTTCTCTAACACAAACAACCACTTATAAAGAATTGTTAATTAATGTTAACGTCGTTGAGAAGTGAACCTTTTGGCCATGGTTACACTCCAACTTCCCCAAAGAATTCTTGGCATGAACCTTCAAAACCCCCTGGGTGCTCTGCAGAAGAAATGAACAGAGGGAACCAAATGTTTTGCCCTTTGAAAACAGAGACATAGAGAACGAACACTAAGATATCAATCCTCTGTTCTGTGTTGAGGAAACAGTGAACAAAGAGCCTCTTATTCAAAGACCGATAAATAAGAGTAATGGAAACAACTTTGCACAGCAGTGTCTCACTAAGTCTCCACAGAGCCAGCTTGCCCATACAAATGGCCAAACACATGAGCGTGCAAAGCACAGACAACGCCAGCACTACCTGGATAACAGCCACAGAACACAGACAAAAAACACAGGGGAAGGATCTTTTTGACCAGTAAAAACCAACATAAACCAGGGCCAAGATCCACCTGTTGAAGTGTTATAAGGAGGTGAAACTTCACTGTTTTTCAATACACAGAAACCCTCACCTCACCCCCAAATCAGTCATAGAACATCATTTTGCATCATCAGCTCTTATTGCGAATTTTTTAAAGATTTATTCATGTAGGGTACAGGCCAGAGGTGAGGGGGGTGAGAAGATTCACTAGAAACAGAGTGGGGAACAGAACAGGCAGACTGACTGAAATACACTGCTGAGGGGAGCAGCAGGTAAGACAGGAGAGGTCTGTTGAGCCATGTGGGTAGCTCCCTGGCCAGCAGGGAATTGAACTCGTTCTGCAGAGGTTGCAGACAGCTTCACAGTGCTGTGCTTAACCCCTTATGCCACCAGGGAGGCCTCTTACTGCTATTTTTTGAGTGATCTAATTACTTCTGATTAATTCACTGCCTTACGGCTGTCTTAGCCATATGATTTATTATAAATGATAATCAGTTTTATTTTTAGAAATAATTTTCAAGGTTGAAAATATGTTCTGAAACAACCAGAGAGCTCACATTACAATCAAACATCAGGCATTAAGGAGAGCACATTACTATAAGTTTAAGGATAGTTTAGCAATGCTACTTTGCAATACACAGTAAAATGCTGAATTGGAAGAAATGGGCCTTTTTCTATCACTAGTACAAGTAAGCCAACTTAAAACCATTTTCCTAGTGCAAAAAAAATGAATTGATTTAAAGGAATATATTCTAGGTAAATTGGTTTGATCGATGAATTTCATTTCTCTCTCTTTATCCTCTAGACCAGGTAGGATGTTAGCCAAATTCACCTACAGGCCAAATGCAGGTGCCAGCCTGTTTTGTAAATGAAATTTTATTGGATTACAGTCACAGCATTCTTTTACCTTTGTCTGCCATAGTCTACCAGTGACAGAAATCTAATAGTCCTCAAGCTTAAAAGTTTTCCAGTTCTTCTAGTCTGTTTACTCAGGATTTGAGTATTTGTAGTTAATTCATCACCCACTGCCCCAAAGCTGGTCTCATCAGGAAGGCAAATGCATCAGTGTCTTTAACTCCACGCACTCAGCTCCACTGCGCAGTGGAAAGTTGATGAACCTGGATGCAATGACAGGTTTTGAAAGACCATGCCCTGCACACATGATGGTAAAAGTTCTCTTAAATACTAAACCTAATGTTTGTCTGATTTCAGATGTGATCCCTAAGAAATGACAGACTCGTGGGAAGAGGTTGGCCATGATAAATTCAAGTGAGTACAATTCCAACACAATCTTTTAGGACATGAATGGCTCCCCAGAGTACTTGCACTATGAAGCACTTGTAATTTTTCTTTACTTTGTTTTAGTGCTTGGGGTAGCAGGGGGTCCTGAGCTAAGCAAATTCTTGAATCATGTAAATATAGTGAGACAGACTTCGTACAAGTTTTCATTATTAAGACTACTAAGGAGGGCCTCCCCGGTGGTGCAGTGGATTGAGTACAGTGCTGTGAAGCTGTCTGCAGCCTCTGCAGTGCGGGTTTAAGTTCCGGCCTGCCAGGGAGATTCCCACATGGTGCAGCAGACCTCTCCTGTCTCCGGTCTCGCCCACTGCTCCTCTCAGCAGTGTTTTTGGTGGTCTGCCTGTTCTGCTCCCCATTCTGTCTCTGGTGAATTCTCTCACCCTCCCGCACCTCTGGCCTGTACCCCAGCTCTTGTATAAATAAATAAATCTTAAAAAAAAAAAGACTAAAGAAAGTTTCTTGGTAAACGGGGAGGTAATAAATAAAAAACAAAGAGAGGAGAGAGAAGGTGAAAAGGGAGAGCAGAGTGTGAGAATAAGGGGTGAGACCTGGTTGAATTGGGGCTATACCTTAAATATTGCAAAGTTGCAGACCTCAACTTTTTTTCAATAACAACCTTTTGGTTCTGCAAAAGGAACATAAAAGGTGATCCTCCCTGCTATTTCTATCATTAGCTAGTTAATTCCATGAGTTAATCAACAGAAAGCCAATAACACATCATCTTAATACTTTGAAGGATTTTTCAGCTCTTCAGTCACCTGCCTGTAGGGAAACAACAGACAATAAATATAGACCTTAAGTGACAATTCACTTAAGAATGTTTTAAACAAACAAGACTCTGAGGCTTTCCCTCATTATCAGACAATTGCAGGATGATTCCTTGTTCCTTTCATTCTCATCTACTTTGTTCTGAATACTTGCCTTCATGTTCACTCAGTGGGCACTGGCTCCATCAGCACTGGGCTTGGACGCTGCACTACATGAGCACAGGAGGAACACAGTCAACAGATACATGTTAGGGATGACTGATGCTGTAAAAAATGAAAGTGCAGAAGGGGAAGAGTGGGAAAGAGAAGGCTTATTGGAAAAAGCAAGGCTGACATTGGAGTGCCCTTGAATGAAGAAGGCAGGCCAAGCAGGTATCAAGGAGCAAAGAATTGCAGGGCAAGGAAACAGTGCAAAGACCTTGAGGTGGGAACATGACTGGCATGTTCAAGAAACAGCAAAGACCGTGGATTCAGGAAATGAGGAGGAAGTGGGGTAGAAGAAGATAAATGCTCAGAGGCACTGAGGCTTCGGAGTAGGGAGAAATCTGAGAGGACCAGGAGGCCATCATACACCGACCTCCCAATGTACAGCCAAGATTTTATCCCACACCCCTTACATCCCAGGAATCTTGACATAGTTCTGCTGGCAATTCAAGGAGCCCTGGCTTATCTCTCCTTTCCAGGCATCCTGAAGGAGTCAGTAAGAATACTACTGAAGGCATGACCGCCTTACTGTAATTTCCTGCTGTATGAAAGGTACAAAGGAGTGCAATGGGGAAGCTGAGGGGGACACTATAACTGGTGGTAAAATGTAGGAATCTGGATAATTCTGAGCTTCTTCCCTGAGTATCACACTTGCCTCTCTGCATCAGTGAATCCAACCTGGACTCAAATGAGGGGGAGATTTAAAAATACTATCTGAACCCCATTCCTGAACCAGAATCTCAAAGATAAGGTGTGAGGGGGTGGTTCCTTGTTTGGTTTCAAGTTACCCAAATGATTCTAAGTGCACAGTCAGGGCTCAGCCTCTCTCTCTCTCTCTCTCTCTCTCTCACTCTCTATCTCTCACACACACACAAACACACACACACACACCCCACCTTCCCTATAAAGGAATGGTGCCCAGCACTAGCAGCTAAGTTTATGACAATGCTCACGCCCAGCCTACAATCAATGCATGAAAAAAGACACCCAGGAGTGGGCTCCATGACGATTTGTTTCAAGTTCTACAGGGCATGCCAGTCGCGGGAAGGGCTTATGAGATTCAAGTTGCAGGGATTTGTGAATTCTGACACTTTACTCTTTAGTAATCCTGCGACCTTGCTGATGTCAAATCAACTTATCTAAAAGGAAACATGTAATATTTCCTTCCAAACTAGGTGCCTATTTCTGGTATCACCTTCCTTTCTACTTTACTTCTTAAGCCTTCATCTATTAAATGAGAATAATATATGTTTATTACTTTACTTTAAAATTCTACTGTAAAGAAAGGGATGACAATGAAAAGCAAAAAATTCCCATTTATACCTGGCAACAACATCCCCACTTCTCAGAAATAAGCTCCTTTAACAAATTCATGGTGGCTTTTCTCTATATTTTCTTTGCATCTTTCTTGCTTTCAAGGTCATGTATCATTCTTGCAACATTCTTCCAACCCTGCTTTGCCAAGTCAGTCACTGAATTCATGCTTTCAAGTCTCTCTTTAATAACTCTTACACATCACTTTCTACCACTCCCTCAGTTGTGAATATCCTATATCTTTTTTCCTTTAATCCCTCATGAATATAATCACGTTTGATCATGACCTCCAGGGTCCATGAAATAGCACAGTGGCTACACATTCCATCCAAATATTTTAGCCCAACAGTCAAAGATCCCATGTATGGCACTGCCTTTTTCAATTCTACTTTTCAATTATGTTTTTTCATAAACCTTTTACTTATCATTTAGCAGCAAAGTTAATCAAAAACAAATTGGAGTGGTTTTCTCACATAACGAATTTAGAAGAGATAAGCCTGGCAACACCCATAAAGTCAAGGTCTGTGATTTTCTTGACCTTTTCCTAATGGTCAAAAGAAGATGGTTATAGTTGTAGCTTCCATTCTAACAAGCTAATCAATGTTAAAAGAAAGAAGAAAAGGGCAACACCAGACACATCTATTCCCTTTGACCACAGAAGCAAATTTCCCCAGGTATCCTTGTATCCCTCAGTGGTTAGGAAGCATCAACATGGTCCCTATGGCTGCTAGACAGGCTGCAATGCAAACATGCCACCCAGGGCTGGGGGGAGCCCTGCAGACAAAATCTGGTTTTGTTAACAGGAAACATGGCTGGGGTTGTATTCAGGGTACATATTTGCTAGCATCAAAACACCAATTAACACTTAAGCAGTTTTGTTTCCATGCACTGATGTGAAAGGAAGGAGACAGAACAACTTCCACCCTTTCTTGTTCTCTCTCTGCCCCTTCTACTTGTAACACTGAGCAATTTTATACATGCTTTTTAAAAACCATTCTCTTATTTTACATTTCCTTTCCAAACATGGGTAAAAGTAACAGTACTTATAAAATCATTCTTGTCCTGCATAATTAGTGACTTTTTTCAATTGATCCTTCATGTTTTCTGATGATTTCAAAGTCATACCATATGTTTATAGAAAAATTTGGAAGACTTCAATGAGAGGATTATGAAATACTGATAAAAAAACAACAAGCTCCTCATCAACCTTCGTGGTGGGTAACCATTTGCTCAGAAATGGGGGACTCCCATAGTTGGTAAATCCAGCTTGGATGACAGCACCGGAGCACTACTGTAGCCAGTGTCACCAAGCACACCACTCAATATCACACCTGTACTTCTCTGCATTGACCATAAACTTTAATGTCTCGAAGATCATCTATGCATGACACTGCATCAAAAACTGCATCACTCTCTTTTGCAATTATTGCATTTTTCTTGCTCTATTTTGGAAAGCCTAAGGAGCTATGTTTGTTATCTTTTTTTAGAGACTCTTTTAAAATGTAATAAGTAGACATCAAGAGGAGAATTTCTGATTTGGATTATCACATTCTGTGGAGATCTATCTATAGGAGGAATTGAGAGAAAGAGAGGGCTCATCACTTTTAATCAAAGAAGAATCTGGAGTCCAAGAATGATTCTCTAGGATAGAAACACAAAGTGTCTCATTACTGGACCCTGTTGGATATGGCATACTCCCTTTAAAATGAATGCCTCGGGCCTCCCCGGTGGCGCAGCAGTTGAGCGCTGGGTTGCGAAGCTGCCCGCGGCCTCTGCAGTGCTGGTTCCATCCCCGGCTGCTCCCAGAGGAGGGTCCCACACGGCGCGCAGACCTCTCCTGCCGCCCGCTGCTTCCCTCAGCAGTGTACTTCGGTCCTGTCCTTTGCCTGTTCTGCTCCCCGCTCTGGCTCTGGTGAATTCTGTCACCCTCCCATGCTTCTGACTGTACCCAGTGCTTGTATAAATGAATGAATGAATGAATGAATGAATGAATAAATGAATAAATCTTTAAAAAAATAAATAAAATAAAAAATAAAATGAATGCCTCAAAATTCAGGAAGAGGGCCATATGAAAACTACCCATGAGAAACCCAAAAGACAATTTAAAAATTATAAATGGGGGTGATCATAAAAGAGATAGAAAAATATATCAAAAGCAAGATGGTCCTCTAAAAAAGCCATCAATTTCTCCTCCCAAGCTATTGATTTCATTTCCATGTGCCTTGCACAGATGGACTGTGAATACAATCATCATTAGCTCCCATTTTGATATGTAATAGACCAGAACCAAATGTTAGTACACCATCCCTTTAATGAAAACCTAATCCATAGAAATCTTAATATCAAAGAGATTATTGATACTATGAATTAATTCTTCATTTTGCAAAAAAAAAAAAAATCTAAGTAGAGTCTTTTAAGGAAAAATTGTATTTATCTATATTGAGGAACTTACTCATTGTATAAGATGATACTTAGGGATATAAGTATCAAGTAGGAGTCCTTTTTAACTTATTTTTTCAAAGACCCACATCTCAATATCTAAATCCCGAAAAGGCATCAGAGCTTAGTCTTTACAGACTAGCAGAGTAATAGGCTATAGGGTTATAGAGGATATTGCCTTTAAAGGTCAAGGAAAAATAAAGACAAAACCCACAAACTTATTTTAGGAAGGAATTTAACTCTATTTTAGTTAGTTTTTTTTTTTTATTTCTTAATTTTGAGAGCAGAGACCTACCCTTGAATTTAACTTTGAATTACCAATGCCTAGTACAGACCCTGGCACATAGTAAAACCTGTGTGTGTGTGTGTGTGTGTGTGTGCAATTGATGAGTCAAGTTCTCCCCCTCTCTGAATCCTGCCAGGATGTGAGGTCATTAGGACACTGTGTGCTGTGGATGACAATTGACAGTGACTGAAGCAGGCAGCAGGAGGGCAGACTGAGGCATAAAGAGAGAAACAAAACCCTCCACTGGTGAGGCGGGAGAATGATTTATTTATAGAGAAAATAATAATGCACCTTACACTTATATTTTTATAACCTCCAGTGTATTTTAATAAGATTCTTTCTTATTGCTCTTCACTATTCCCTTATGAAGTATAAAATTATTTAATACATATTAAATCCAATTATTCAGAGAAAAAAATACATTTACTGTAAAATGTTAGGCACTGCTTAAAGAGAAAAATGTAAAGAGAAATTTTATACAATCAGATAAACCTCAAGGTTAATATTCACAAATTGATTATTTTATGAGAAAAAATTATAATTTATAAAGTAAAATAAGCAATTAGCTGCCAGGTAGTTTTAGATGTGACGAATGTACTTCTACTCCCCCAATGATTTTTCTCCCGATGGGTGGAATTTAAAATGCACGGCAGCATAACTAAATACTGTATAACCCCCACGGTGAAAAGTGCCCCAGATCTCACCAAGAAATGGATTTATTCAGTTGAACTGTTGTGTCTCTTAGCCTCTAGCAAAAGGCTTACCTTAAACGTCTCCACCACCTCTTTGGATCCTCCTTCTCCGGTACATTCCGCCAAGCATCCGTTATTGCAGTCCTTAAAGAAGAATTAAATCCAGTTAAGTATAGCTTGATTTATGATTGGGGCCTAGGGTACCCACTATCACTCACCATTACACTGTGCGCTCTGCTTTGGTACCACGCAAACAGGAAAAGGAGCTCAAACACCCAGGCAGCAGCCCAGAGCCCAGCGCCCTGGGAGTGCGGCCCTTGCCTTTCTTCTCTGCCCGAGGTCGCGTCGGTTTCTGTCCTCCACCGCTGGCTGAGGGCAGACTGGTTAAGTTCCAGGTTAGCCCTCAGAGCCAGGGTTCACCAGCCAAGAACAGAAGGCGATTGTCTTCCTTATATCCGAGCAAATAGTCTAGACTAGGGTTTTAAGCCATTTATAGAAAAATCTCCCGGGCGCGCTCAGCCTCGTGGTCTTGTCAATCACGCGCGCACAATAGCGAGCCTGGAAAAAGAATCCGGACCAGAGTGAACCATTTTCTCCACCGGCGGGGTCGTGCAATGCAGACACATCTAACCCCACGCATTAAAGGCAAAAAACCTCTTGGAATTAGGTTGTAATTTAAAAGCTGTTTAATGACACAATGGAAGCGGGGCCATTGGGAAAAGGCGCGCGCGCGCGCGCGTACACACACACACACACACACACACACCCACGAGCTTATTCTGCTAAATTACTATGGGGGAGAAGGGGGAAAAAGCATCCAAGGAGGCAGAAGGCTGCGGTCAAAATATTTTGGGGTGGCGAAGGCACGCAGGATGTGACTGTCAGTTCTGGAAGCCCAGAAATTCCTCTCCCTCTCCCACCCCCCTACCCCCAAAGCGTCTTCCAAGGCGACCCTCACGTCCCGGTGGCAAAGGGAGCCTCTCCAGGGCGGATCACCACCTGGTCGGCTGGGACCTCTTCGAGGCGGAGGTCACAAGCTAGGACGCCAGATTTGGGGCAGGGCTGGGGGGTGGGCGGAAAGGAGAAGCCTGGGTAGAGGCGGAAAGGCAGTGCGCGGCTAAAAAGGACGGTGCAGGAAACTGCAGCAATGCCCTGGGCCCGGCCCGCAGGTTTCTGAGAGCTAGGGTCCAATCCGCCCCCCTTCTGCAAATGCCGGGGCTGGGGGTACCTGGCCGGCGAGGGTCCCGGCGACGCGGAGCGAGCTGGCCATAGGGAGGCTCCGGGAGCGCAGGGCTGCGGAGAGACGCGGCGGTACGCAGCGCGCTGCTGGACGCAAAAGCCGGCAGCTCGGCCAAGCCCCGGCGCACAGCCCGCGCTGTGCCGCCTGCCACCGCCCGGGGCCCCGCGCCAGGGCCAGGCGCAGGGCGCGACGCAACTCTTCCAGCATCCCTCGGGTCGGGGCCTCTAACCGTCTGATTCCAGGCGTTCTTCGGTCGGAAAAGCAAAGCCGCAGTCCCTGCCACCAGGTCCGAGCAGGGCCGGAGAGAGCGCGCCACGAGCGAGCGCCTTTCCAAGCTCAGGCACTTCGCGAGAATCATTCTTCAGCAAAGTGCTCCTGGGTGAGCAGTCAGGAAACGCCTCTGGCCAAGGGGAAGACCACTTGGGGGAATTTAATCACACTGGGGCAGATTTTCCATCGACAAAGGCAGTTTCTGCCTCCAAGACTTTGCAGCCCGCAATTGGCCATTATGCTTTGGGTTCCTGCGCGCCACAACCACCCGCCTCCCGCACCCCGCCCGGTACACACTGAAGGGAAAGAAGGCAGATCCGTAGTTCAGATGTCTTTATGCCATCTACCCCAGTCAGATTTCTAACTTGGGCTTTTGTGGGGCTGTCAGGCTCACATCCCCTGAAAATCTGTTTCTGCCCAAAGACTTCAAAGTTACTTACACAGGTCTGAACCCATATTCATTGTTTGAGGGCTACATTGACCTTGAAGTGCTCTCAACTGTGTTTGACGGTTTTTGACACATCTGTGATAGCAATATTTAGAAAAGGTCTGAGGAAGTGTTTGGAATTCCGCTCCTTTTGGCAAGGAAAAGGGAAGACCAGCACAGCTCTTGTCTGCTCCGCTATCTTCTCCCAGAGTAAATTAAGAGCCTTCAGCTCTTTTAAATCAATTATGAATTATGAGTCTTCCATAGGGGGTGGTCACTTGGACTGACTTGATCTTGGGACATGGGGAGGGTAGTTTATTCTGGGTGAGTGTGGTTAAATTCAGCGTGGTTTTAGAATTGATTTCATACAGCCCTAAAGACAATACAGCTCTCATCTTATCAGTTCAGAAAAGAACATGCTCTACTCCCTTCTTCCTGTCCTTTCATGCAAGTCATTAAAAAAAAAAGCCTGTAACACTGAGTCCCCAGGGTCACAGGGTTGCTGAAACCCAAATTCTTTTTTTTTTTAAGATTTATTTATTTATTTATTTATACAAGATTGATTGATTGATTGATACAAGCACTGGGTACAGTCAGAAGCGTGGGAGGGTGAGAGAATTCACCAGAGCCAGGACGGGGAGCAGAGCAGGCAGAAGGACCGAAGTACACTGCTGAGGGGAGCAGCGGGCGGCAGGAGAGGTCTGCACGCCATGTGGGACCCTCCTCCGGTGGCCGGGGAGCAGCCGGGGATCGAACCGGCGCCGCAGAGGCTGCGGGCAGCTTCGCAACCCAGCGCTCAACCGCTGCGCCACCGAGGAGGCCCTCTTTTTTTAAAGATATGTAAAATCATATTTAAAAGTATTTAAGTACAGATTAAGTAAACTCTAGAGCTACCAGTTTGTGACCCCAGCTGAAAGCTTAAGAAGAAGCACCCCTGAAAGAGTTATAAACTTCTCACATTGGGAAGGTTGATTTAAAGCCTGCTCATTTAAAGCCTGCTCATTTAAAGCCTGTTCCAAAGACAGACAATTTTCTTGCTATTTTAAATGTTACCTGTAGGTCCTCCTTTTTCAGCTGAGTAAGCATGTATAATGTAAGGGTGTTATTAGAGAATCATCACGATTCCACCTCCCTTTAGAGACAGAGCTGCCTGTACTGCTTCCATTTCCTCCCCTTTCAAGGGACTGTAAGTTGACTTCTGCCCAATTATTCCACCTAAACCAGTTTCCTAATAGCCTTCATTTTGCTTGACCCAGGGATTTTTTTTTTTTTTTTTTTTTTTGTCCAGTGCATTGACCTTAATTACATTAGGGCAGATTTTCCATCTACAAAGGCAGTTTCTGCCTCCAAGACTTTGTAGTCGGTGATTGGCCATTGTACTTGGGCTCTTGCATGCCATGCTGACAACACCCAAATATATACACACCTAGCCTGAGCAATAAGTAGTTACAGTCAAAAGTCTGTCTAAAATATTTATTATGTGGGGTCTCCCTGGTGGCGCAAGGTCTCCCTCCCGGCACAATGAAGCTATCCACAGCCACTACAGCACGAGTTCGATCCCCAACCAGGGAGGTGACCCACATGGCACAGCAGACTTCTCCTCTCGTGCCCGCTGTTCTCCTCAGCAGTATATTTCAGTCAGTCTGCCTGTTCTGTTCCCCACTGTCTCTGGTGAATCCTCTCACCCCCCGCACCTCTAGCCTGTAGCCCAGGTCTTGATGCGTAAATAAATCTTTCTTAAAAATTAAAAATAAAATATTTATCATGAGTCATGTGTGTGACACTTGTGAAGTGTGCCCAGTCAGGTAGAAAAAATATTACTTGTGTTAAAAAGCATTAACTCATCCCACAAGGTAAAATTGCAAATCTAACAAGTGCTACCTGTGCTTTAAGCACCTCTAAAATGGAATGTAACTGACCTAGAAAGGCCTTGGGAGGATTTCCAGCAAGGGGGATTCTTTATACAAGCACTGGGTACAGTCAGAAGCACGGGAGGGTAAGAGAATTCAACAAAGCCAGAGTGGGGAGCAGAACAGGCAGACTGATGAAATACACTGCTGAGGGGAGCAGCAGGCGCCTCAGGGGGGCCAGGGATGGAACCGGCACTGCAGAGGCTGCGGGCAGTTTCGAAGCCCAGCGCTCAATCGCTGAGCCAGCGGGGGAGGCCCCAGTGAGGGATTCTTGAGCAGAGAACTTAAGGATAAAGAAAGAAGTGTCCCAAAGGAAGAAGAGATGAGAGTGAGAGTAAACAGCATAAAAGTGTCTTCCAATCTGAAAGGACTTCTCTGAGAAGGGAAAAAACCTGGTACCTACAAAGAACCAAACCTGAGCCAGAGGCTACAAAAGACACAGGCAGAGGGAGTCAGCCCAGGGAGACTGGAAAGGCAGAGAGGGCCAAACCTGCAGTGCCTCACAGAGAATTGGCACTCCTGTGATAGCTTATACAACTCATTTCATGAAGCACCAGACAGATGTTAGAAGTAGTCTAAAAACAGACACATTTCCATCAGTTATCTGTAAAATAACTCAAAAACAATGAAACAGTGTAAAATACAATGAAAGGCCCTAGAGAATCCTAGAAACAAGGAAAAACTATTGAATGGTTAGAGTGGGTAGGGATTGGGGATGGAGGGCTGATGGGCTTAAAGTGCCCTCTGCTGTTTGGAGACTGGAGGAGGAGGACTTCATGGTGGGGAATGGATCTATAAGGAAGTTATTACAGACCCCATATGAGATGATGAGATGGACTCGATCCTTTGTATATGAAATGACCCTCTGAATATGTTGGACTTGGCAGGTAGTACTGATGGAGAGAAGCAGCCAGATTCAGCAAGCTTTAGATGAACTGGGCATGCAAAGGAAGAAGGGAGGAAGATTCCCAGCAGGTGCTTTGCATTCTGTCTGCTTCTCAGGTGGGTGATAGTCACTGGAAAAATGGAAAACTGACAGAAGGTATGCTCTGAGGGGATGGAGGAGGAGTATGGCTGGGAGCAGACAGTTTTGAGCTGCCTCTGGACTGGACTTTAGAGAGATGCCTTTCTGAGCTCCAAGGAGAGTTCTGGATTAAGGTAAACATTTGATGAATCCCTGGCAAGTAGGTGGTAACTGAAGCAAAGGGTGGGAGCAAGAATGTCCTCTCTGTACCTTGGTTTCCTCATCTGTCAGATGGGACAATTGCAACACTTCGTAATTGTCAATAAGGAAGGGTGACCACTACCCACGTGAAATATGCAAGTGACTTAGAGCCTTACCTGGAAAATCCTAATTCCTCAGTAATTCTGGCATGTTGGGTACTCATTTCCTTATCTAATAGTCAAAATAGACCTGGCACACCATAGGTTCTGTTGTGTCACCCTCCAGAGAGGTTAGCTGAGTTTGCAAGATCAAGCAGCCCTAAATTAATTCAACCTGATCCCCCAAGGTATCTGGTCTTGACTGCAATTATGACTCATGCCAAATGTCCAAATTCTATAATTGCACACCCCTATCAGTATAAACGTTAGCACATGTGACAGATTATATTTCCCAAGGATCGGACTGTTCTTCCAAAGATGACTGTACATGATCTTCCTTTACATGTGCTCTTCTACTTGACCCCACCATGGGGTATAGAGATTATTTTCTCCACCCTTTGAATCTGGATGGGGCCTGTGACTGTTTCAACCCACAGAATAAGGACAAAATATAGAAGTGAAGCTGTTCCAATTCTAGGCATACACTTTACCTACACTTTACAGTTTACATACACTTTACAGTATCTA